ACCACTTTTTAAGCATTTGACTCTTGGTCTTAGTGTAGCTGGGATCATACGATTTTGTTAGATACTAATATCTGGTGATTCTAAACTATGGTTTATATATGTTCTTTTCATAATTGCAGTAATATCTTTAGGGACTTTTGTTTTAATAAAAAAGAAAAATATACGTATAGCATTAGTAATAATTAATCATTTGATCATTTTAACTTCATTAGAAATAGATAATCAATGTTCACCACATTATTACTATTTAAGAGGGGCAAGTATGATGTGTATTCATCTAGTAATTTTTCTACAAGGTGAATTTATAGATGCTTTTTTTTCCATTATTATCATAACAACAATTAGATTGCTTACTATTTTTCTTTAGGACTCAATATTTCCTTATCCATCGATGGTAATAGCAATAATTTTGATAGGTTATCTGTTATACATAATTTACAAAAATAATCTCGCCTTTAGATCATAATTTTAATTATCCTGTTTGGATAATCAATGGGACTAAGTAATTACTACACTAATAGATGATCCATATTTATTAATTAATTTCAATGAAAGCAATTTAAGTTTTAAGTTTAAGAAATCTAATAAGTTTTAATTTAATTGTGAAAATGAACTGGATTTAAAATTATTTTTAAGAAACACTAAATTAATTGAAGGGAAAAATAGCTTAGAATAATTTTTATTTAAGAGCATCTAAGATTGCATTTTTGAAGATACAAATCAATAGTTAAAATAACAAATTTAAATTATTCATGATAAAAAAGAATTCACTCTATAATATTCTATTTTTTTGGGAGTTTAACCATTAATTTTAATATAAGTATTAAAATTTTGCAAAATCCAAATAATAGAAGATAAAAAATTCATAAAATTAGAAAGCTCTTATTAATTCAAATATAAAAAATTATTAAGTATCGTTTATAAAAGACTTAATAAAATGATGAAGAAGAAATCTACTTTTATTATTATTCATTCAATGTATAAATAAATATTGTATTTTTATTTAATGGAACTCTGTGAATAAAGTTCTCAGTAAATTATTTACACTTTTAAATTATAAAGTGTCTTAAAGAAAATAAAGATGATTTATAATTATAGATCTATTTAAATATATAATTCAATATCATCAAATATAATGGGTAATAAATCAATTTTATGTTTGATTCTTATAGATGTGATTGAGTAATTAACAACACATAACATTAAAATCTCATGTTCATAATTAAATGAAAATGAATACTAAATAAAAATAGAAGGTGTTATAAATGAAAAAGCTTAAAATTTGATATACAAAAGACTAAAAACGTAAGAATGGTTTTTCAAGAAATTCACAATTGACTAATCATGTAATAGTTATTTAGTAAATAATTTATAGGTATAAAATTAATTCTTTGGAAAGACCTACCTGAAATAGAAGGTTAAGGAATAACAAAATGAATTATATCAACTACCTTTTATATATTTATCTAACTTAGGATTCAGATAATAATTATTATTAGTATTAATAATGAATCAATAATTCTTTGGTAATTCAAGATTAGCTATACAAAGAGCATAATAACTTCACTAATTCTTCACTTAATCAGTGATTTATGATTAATTCAAATATACAGCTAAAATGCCATAATATCCTAAAATTGTATTTTTACAATCAAATCAATTTTTCAGAAATCTTGTTGAAAAGTAATTTAATTATTAGATAATAGATAATTCATTTAATATTCAATAATTGATGCTTAAAAATCAAGTGGAGAAGTAAAATTTATATTTATCCAAAAGGACGGATTAGCTAGATTAGCAGAATAAGTATAATTATAATCTACATAAACAAATGGTGCTTTATTATTTGGATTCCCAAATACAACAGTTGAAGCAGAAAGGTACTTGAAAAAAGAATAAAAAATAATTTTAGACTTGATCGATTATTAGATGGAGTTAATTTAGCTGTTAGATTCAGATTATCTGAATCATTAATTAAGAAAATAGCAGGATCTTTTCTTTCATGTTAATCTTGTGGTAAAGTTTTCAATACTAGCTTACCATTCATCACTCCTACTCATCCAGGATACTAAAATAATGTATAAATTTAAAATAGATTTTATTTTAGTGTTAAACACCAAGTAAATGTGCTTTAGAATCAAGTTAAGCTCCAATTGATTAAGTCAATTCTGAAATTATTGAATACTATCAAAAGAAAGTAAAAATTATATTGATAATTTATAGGGTGCTTATCTTGAATATGAAATTAATGAAGATCATTTATAGTATGATTCATAAGAATTCTTTGAAAAATTAGATAATGCTGTTGCATCACATATTAAAGTTTGATATTTTTAAGNAATTATTTACACTTTTAAATTATAAAGTGTCTTAAAGAAAATAAAGATGATTTATAATTATAGATCTATTTAAATATATAATTCAATATCATCAAATATAATGGGTAATAAATCAATTTTATGTTTGATTCTTATAGATGTGATTGAGTAATTAACAACACATAACATTAAAATCTCATGTTCATAATTAAATGAAAATGAATACTAAATAAAAATAGAAGGTGTTATAAATGAAAAAGCTTAAAATTTGATATACAAAAGACTAAAAACGTAAGAATGGTTTTTCAAGAAATTCACAATTGACTAATCATGTAATAGTTATTTAGTAAATAATTTATAGGTATAAAATTAATTCTTTGGAAAGACCTACCTGAAATAGAAGGTTAAGGAATAACAAAATGAATTATATCAACTACCTTTTATATATTTATCTAACTTAGGATTCAGATAATAATTATTATTAGTATTAATAATGAATCAATAATTCTTTGGTAATTCAAGATTAGCTATACAAAGAGCATAATAACTTCACTAATTCTTCACTTAATCAGTGATTTATGATTAATTCAAATATACAGCTAAAATGCCATAATATCCTAAAATTGTATTTTTACAATCAAATCAATTTTTCAGAAATCTTGTTGAAAAGTAATTTAATTATTAGATAATAGATAATTCATTTAATATTCAATAATTGATGCTTAAAAATCAAGTGGAGAAGTAAAATTTATATTTATCCAAAAGGACGGATTAGCTAGATTAGCAGAATAAGTATAATTATAATCTACATAAACAAATGGTGCTTTATTATTTGGATTCCCAAATACAACAGTTGAAGCAGAAAGGTACTTGAAAAAAGAATAAAAAATAATTTTAGACTTGATCGATTATTAGATGGAGTTAATTTAGCTGTTAGATTCAGATTATCTGAATCATTAATTAAGAAAATAGCAGGATCTTTTCTTTCATGTTAATCTTGTGGTAAAGTTTTCAATACTAGCTTACCATTCATCACTCCTACTCATCCAGGATACTAAAATAATGTATAAATTTAAAATAGATTTTATTTTAGTGTTAAACACCAAGTAAATGTGCTTTAGAATCAAGTTAAGCTCCAATTGATTAAGTCAATTCTGAAATTATTGAATACTATCAAAAGAAAGTAAAAATTATATTGATAATTTATAGGGTGCTTATCTTGAATATGAAATTAATGAAGATCATTTATAGTATGATTCATAAGAATTCTTTGAAAAATTAGATAATGCTGTTGCATCACATATTAAAGTTTGATATTTTTAAGAAATAATAATAATAATATATGATCACATATAACCTTATTCTAAATGTTCTATACTTATATTGATAGTTTAATTTTGCTATATTGGAATAGATTTATTAATGTCCATTTTTTTTTGTTTTGCAAATCCTTGTAAAGTCATATCTCCTTATTTAGTTTTTAATTCTGGTTTTTTTTAATTTGAATCTTTTCTTTTGAGAATCTTTGAATCTCCCTTAATAACCTTTTCATATTGTTCAACTTAAATTTTAAATTGTTTTTATTTCATCTCTTCATTCATCATCTTTTTTCTCTATTCTATAATAAATGGTGAATCATTCAAATTCTAACCTTAATAAATTACATTCTATCTTCTTAGTTCAGTCTAGTCTTCTTCAGCTTGATGAGTATAATACCTTTGCATCTTTTTACTATCATTTTATTCAATTGAATCATAAATTTATTTAAGTTCTGCATAAGAAGTTGGGTTGTCACTAATTTTAATTGAAGGAGCAGCTACTTTAGTTATTTTAGGTTTTTCAGAATAATCATCATCTGATATGATTGACCAAAATACTATACATATTCCACCTATAGCCAAATATCCATATAATTGATTAGAATTACTTTTAGACTGAGTATATTAATAAGTTCTTTATTGATAAGTATTTTTCTGTTTATTATTTTCATGCCATTATTTTTATTACCCTCCATTGTATTACCATCCAGGATTATTGTAGTATTGTTTTTCTTGATTAGATTCTTGATTAGATTAGTTACTAGAATCTTATTATACATCTATTGATTAATCATAGAGTTTTCTTTTAATTGGGTCCTTTAAAATATTGTATGCATTTGTAATTTCCTTAAATTCTTAATCTTTCTAAGCCAGATTAACATCAGGATGATATAGTTTAGCCAATTTAATGTAGGCAGACTTAATTGCATCAATAGAATCATTAGGTTATACACCTAATTTTTAATAGAGAGTTGTGCAAAAGGAGAAAGTTTTATATTTTTTTAACATTTTAAAATAGTTATAATATTAATTGTTTTTTAAATTCCTCTTGTTTTATTAAATTTCATAAGAATCTATAATTCTATTTTATGTCTTAATCATTATTAAAAATAGACTCAATAAATTATATTCCAAAAATTAGATCTTCAACTTAATTCTTGGTTATAATAATTTTTACAATTTATAGTTTTTTCATATTTCATTACCTAGGTATAATTGCAAAATCTTTACTAATATTTGATAATAATTTAGTTTAAATATAGCATGGAGAGAACTTAATTAGAAAATATGGAAAAGCAGTAAATATTAACTAGTTTTAGCATTACGAAATCTTTAATATTTTTTATTAGTATTACAAGAGATTAATGAATTAAAGACCAAAATTCTAATTAGAAAATTCTTTCATCACTCATCCTCTTCCTCTCTCATGTTGTATCCTAAATAAATTTGAAACTTAGTAAAGCATTTCATAATTAACAATTAGAATCATTACTGCAGGTTATGATTAAACATGCAAGATATTCAATATAGAAAGTGGAGCAAAACTTAATGAAATGTAAGGACATAGTAATGTAATTCAATGTATTGAAATTGATTAGAGTAAAGAGTATTCAAATTTTATTATTATAGTGATCTAATGGCTACAGGTTCATTTGATCACACCATCAAATTATGGAGACCTAAATCAGGAATTTGTGTTGAAACACTTAAAGGACACGATGCGGAAATTATGTGCCTATCATTTGGACACAATAATAAATTGGCTTCTGGATCAATGGATTCAACTTGTAATATCTATGATATAGAAAAATTTTTAATTTTACATACAATCAAAGATCATAAGATTTCTATAGTTGGTGTCAAATTTCATGATTCTAATGTTTACACTGCTTCATTTGATGGATAAATTTCAGTATGATACTTTCAATAATTATAGGTAAATGATACCAAAACATTTAAGCAAATTATTAAATTACAAGATGACACTAAAGAAATATTCTAAATGGCTATAGATCCTTCTGGAAAGTATCTTGGAACTATCAGTGGCAATAAACAATGCAAAATCTGGGATCTTAAGTAGCTAAATAAACCATTACATATATTGACAGGACATACATAAGATTTGACTACATTTACCTTTGACTAGTTGGGAACCAGAGTTTTGACAGGATCATAAGATTCAACAGTAATTTTGTATGAGGCTTCTACTGGTAAGATGAGTTAAAGGTTTTATGGTCACACAGATGAAATAGTCAAAATTGTTTATACTTAAAAACATGAGGTCATTACAGCTAGTACTGACAAGACTGCTAGATTATAGTATTACTTTCAATATTATACAATAGCACAATAGATGGTGTTTGCCAATAGATTTTAGAGGGATAAGAGGACGGACTTATGACTCTTTTAGTAGATTCAAAAGGAAAGATGGTAATCACTGTAGGAAAAGATTCAACATGTCAAGTGTGGAGATTATGATATATTTTATATATAAATGCTAATTTACACAAGTTCAATATATCTGTAATTTTCAATAAAAAATACAATTTTTCTGGTGGAAGTGGGAATGTAGCAATAAACTTAGTTATAGTACATAATCATAAATTCATTTTCATTGCTAATAGCTGTTTTATTATTTGGAATGGAATTATTTAAAAAATAACCTATCTATATTAATCGAGTGGGTGCCTTAATATTATGCTTACTAAATGTTGAATTAGTGTATTAAGAGATTTCATAAATAAATACCATCCAGTTGGTAATATTCATTGTTATATTAATTACATAATATGAAGATGAAGAAAGATGGCATAAAATTGCAAAACACTCTATAATATTTTATATATTTTTGAGGACACTTTTACAATACAAAGACTTGTTTAACATAACTTAATTACTGACATATGTATTATGGTAACCAATTAATCATTTGATGTTGCACTATAAGAATTTATTGAAAATAAATCAATTAAAGAAATAATCGCTTGATTTGAGTAAATGTCAAATTGAACTGACACCGCAATTATGTAAAGATTCTTCAGAATAGGAAGAGTTATGCAGCAGTAACTTTTAGAGAAGTTCAAAATTATCATAAAATATAAAGCAATTAAAATAACTATATATGAATAATCCATTTTCTCAGATGGGAGATTTAGATTAAAAAACATTTTCTTAATTTTAAAAATAAACATCGACTTTAGATGTTCCATAAATTTGGAATTTGTTGCCTTTTGGTATTGCTCTTATCAACAGTAAGTTTGAAATATTAACATATAATTAAAAATTATTATATTTTTTAAAAGTGTCAGATAATGATGGAAGAAATATCATATTAAATTTGGATTTATTATTAGAAAGGTATATTCAATTAACATAATAAGTCCTGAATCATGGGAGAGTAAATCCGTAAATTAATTTAGCTCACATTGTAGCAATCGTTAAAGCAGGAGATTTCAAACAAAAAGATAATTGTCCATAATTTCCAAAAGCAATCATGAATAAAATCCAGATGGTGGAAATAATTCTCAAATAAATGCAAATTATGCCTTCATACCCAATACTAACAATTAGATTAGAGATGAGATTCTTACAACAAAGTCTAGATATCGAAATCTAGATTAGCTACTTAAGAAATTTGCATTAAAATCCTATTCATTAACTAATAATGGAGATTGTTCTTTTCAATCTATAGGTCAAAATATCTAAATCATAAAGAAAGTATAAGATATAGATTCAAAGAAATATCATTTTAGAATTAAAGTATATGAATTAGACACTATAGGAAATAAAATAAATTATTTATTTGTGATAGAGAATATAACAAATAAGGAAGAATTGCGCTAATTAAGTGTAAGATACAAATTTTAATAAGTTTTGCTAAATTCTTTATGTCATGAATTACGAACACCAATGAATAGCACCTTATCTTAATTGAATGCATTAACATCATTAATTTCACCTTAAATTAGAGATAAACATCTTATACCTGCCATAATCTCAGCCAAAAAATTAATGTTTTAATTAAATGATATTTTGGACTTTGCATAAATAGATTGTAAGAATTTTCATTTAATGAATTCATAATTTGAACTAAATGAAATATTTGAAATATTAAGAGAACTTTTTGAATAAGAATGCAAAGAGAAAAACCTTAAATTTGTTCTAAATTACTAAAATATTAAAGATAATTAAAATATTTATAGTGATAAGGAACGAATAGTAAGGATATTAGTAAATTTGATAGATAATTCTATTAAATTTACAAATGAAGGTGGAATAATAACAGTTACAGTCTAACAAGAAAATTAATATATTTTCTTTAGTGTTTTGGATGATGGAGTTGGTATTTCTGATAAAACTTTAACAAGTATTAGAAGCAATAAAGATTTTCAAATGTAAGATTAATATAATTAAAATGAAACAAAACTTGGTTTAGGTTTAAAAATATCTTAATAAATTGCCAAATTTCTATGTGTTGATAAAGAACTCAAATTTGAAAGCAAAGAAAAATAATTTACTAAAATTTCATTCAAAATAGAATCTAATTATAAATAATTAAAACATTTAAAATTACCATCATTTTAAGGTTGTAATTTTAATATTAATTGTGATTGCATATAAATTTTAAATGTTGATGATGTCAGATTTAATCACAGTGCTATGGAAGCTCTCTTATGTCAACATAAGATTAAAATGGAAAGTGCATATAATGGAGAATAAGCAATATAAATGATTAAAAGAAGATTAGACTAAAATTGTTGTAAGACATATAAATTAATATTCATGGATATTGAAATGCCAATAATAAATGGATATTAAGCTTCAAAAGAAGTAATTTAAATTATAATAATTTAGATAACAGCCATATTAACTAAATTTAACCTTACAGACTAAACTGTTATTGTAATGTGTTCAGCTTATGATGGATATGAAAATAGTAATTAAGCAAAGGCTTGTGGAATTAAAGAAGTATTACCAAAGCCTATTGAATAAAAATAACTCAAACAATTACTTGACAAATATTTATTATGATTATATATTATAATTATAAATGGAAATACTCATGAAATTATTGATATGCTAATTAATAATTTAAGACATCATTCAAATCAGTTTTATTTGGATAAATACAAATTGGTATTATGTTCTATTGAATGTCTTATCCCTATCAATATGCTTATTACTAATAATAATTGATTATTACAAAATATCAATGAACTATATTAAGGTAGGTTTGCAATTATTATGCATAATAAATTATGAAACCTTGTTCTAACAATCTATAAATATTGCTAATGCTGCTTAACTATTCTATATATTACTTATTCTGTTTAAGATTTATGATAATGCTATATTAACAAAGATAATTGTACATCTAATATTAGTATACATGGTAATTAGAGCAATAATAACTTAATCAGATTATAGAATTCAATATATATTATTGATAATATTCCTCTAACCTATAAATCATTATATATTTTATACAATGAATACAATATAATTATCACAGTAAACTCAAACGTAATTTATAATTTAATAAAATTCATAAGAATAAGTTATATGTTTATCTAATGATAGCAAAGGAGATAATTTAAAATGTGATTTAAATGAAAGTGTTATTGTTAACTAAATCGATTATGAATTTGAATCTCCTAAAATTTAATAAGAACATAAATCAATAGGTACTAATAAAAATACTATTGAATAAAGAGTTATCATTAAAAAATAACCTATAAATGTATAGAAAACAACTACAAATTCTTCAGATTCTATTTAACAAGAACCTCTAAAAATGGAAAGCAATATGGATTCTAAATATTCTGATTTAGTAGCAATTATGAGTAATCTTCCCTTTGGAATCCTATTTGTTGATTAATAGTTAACAATTTTAGACTATAATTAAAAAGTGACTTAATTATTAGGAATCACAAATCCTAATAAAATAATTCAATTTTTAGATGAAGCCATTAAAAAGTAAAATATATAAATAATTATAACAGAGGTGGAGAAATTTAAGAAGTTCGTTCTACAAAGAAAATTAAAAAGTCATTGAGTAAAACACCAAAAAAAATGTCATTTTATCAATAGACGTCAATTAATCTACAAAAAAGATAAATTAATGAATAAATTTCAGATTTAGTTTCTCAATTTTATAATTGTGGATCTCCATCTAAAATAGATAATGAAAGTTAATAGGAGGGAAATTTAAAGTCTATATTTTAAAAGTTTTAGAAAATCCATTAAAGTTAATAAACAGCTGCTTCAAGAGAAGCCTTTTAATTTATTATTAGATTAGATTCTATGAATAATTCATAATGTAAATCTAAATATAAGAGTTTAAAACTTAAGATTTTTTAAATTGATGGTAATGGATAATGGGAATAAAATGTTTATTTATTTGTATTAGAAAACATTACAAAAAGGGAGGAATTTAAATTGCTTAATCATAAATATAAATTTTAATAGGCACTTTTAAATTCATTATGTCATGAATTAAGAACTCCAATAAATGGTGTTATTTCTTAATTATTTGCATTAAAAGACGAATTAACAATTGATTTAATTTAATCTCATCTAAATCCTGCAATTGTATCATCAAAGAGATTATAATACTAATTAAATGATATATTAGATTATGCTTAGATTCAATGTAATGCCTTGACTTTAAATAAATCTTACTTTAAATTAGAGGAAATATATTAATAATTGCATGAATTATTTTATTTTGAATGTTTGTAGAAGTAAATCTAATTAGTAATAGAAGATGATTATTAAATTAGATTGCATACTGATAAAGAGAGATTGCTTAGAATTTTTATTAATTTACTTGATAATTCAGTTAAATTTACAAATAAAGGAGGAACAATTAAGGTATCATCAGAAATATTAAAGGATCACTTTAAATTTATTGTATATGATAATGGATAAGGTATAAAAGATGAAATTATAGAAAAAATTGAAGAATAAGCAGAAATATTATTTTAAGATTCTATCCAATATAATTCAAATAAATTAGGTTTGGGATTAAGAATCTCAATGTTGCTTTCAAATTATTTATATAAAGAGTAAACCTTTTAGATAGATTCTAAATTTAATTAATATACAAAAATAAGTTTCAAATTATCAAATTTAATAGAAAATTATTCAGTAGAATTTTAGATGGGTGCTTAATTATCTATGCTAGAAAAAAATTGTAATTGTAGTAAAATATTAATTGTGGATGATATAATTTGTAATCATTTTGCACTTTAAGTATTACTTAAGAAATTTTAAATAAAAACTGATAGTGCTTACAATGGAAATTCTGCTATAGAATTAGTAGAAGAGAGATTGAAATAATAATGTTGCTAAACTTATCGATTAATTTTTATGGATATTGAAATGCCATAGAAAAATGGATTTCAAGCATCTTCGGAAGTAATTTAAAATATATATATATTTAGATATCGTAAAAATTAAGATAAAATTCTCTTAAT